GTAGTCCCTACATAACTGACCAATAGTCGGGACCGAAACTGATCAGTTAAGCGTGGAAGTGTATTCCAGGAATTGGTATTGAAAGAAAGAGTAGGGATGAGCATCAACTGTTTTACTGATACCAGGCACTAATATCAGTATCATATATATCGCTTGGTTTGCATTATGTTTTACACAGCTGCACCGTAAAGTAGCGTAGAATAATAGTTTCAATTATTCAATTTCCAAGAATTGGTGGGGATAAGCGTTGGTCAGTTACGAGATCCACAGTCAGGACGTGAGGACTACTATACCTAATGCGAGTATTGTGGTTACGGACTTAACACAGTGGGGGGAAACGATGAGGAAAGTATGGGCAAGGGCCACATGCGGTTTGCGGGCTGCCAATTAGCCACCTTAGACTCTAAGGTTATTTATAATCGCCTAATGTCTTTTCTTACGGAACGTTTAAGAAACATTTTTCATCTTGTGTATTGAACATAAACTAATTTATTTAATCTTTGAATCATGATTTTGTCTTGAATACATATCTGATCCAAATCTTTATCAAGGGTAACGAGTACCTATTAATGTGTCTTTTTAAAAATTTTGTTTTCATTGCATAATAATTTATCAACTAATAATATTAGTAAATTTATATTGTAAAATACAAATTGCAGATTACAGGGTTTTCTTTTACAATTTTATGATCTTAAGTCAAACAAGAGAATTGAATAACTTGTAATTGATAAAAGTTCTGAAATTTTATATGCATATTTTATTAAAGTGACATAAAGAGTATAAATAGTTAAGCAAGAAATCAAAATGTTCAACCTCTATATTAAATTATAATTTTCATATCATACATAGAATAACAAAAAAAAATGTTCATACATTTTGAAATTTTCTTTTACTAATTACAAGAGAAAGGTGTTTTATAAAGAAAATTAAAGATAAAGTTATGTTCAATAAGGATAAGGACATTTGAGATACATCATTAAGATAGGTTTCCAGCGTGCGAGTAAGTATGTACATATTGCATATAGAATTTATTTATGTAGAATAGGATTTTATAGTATACAAATCATCATAATCATCGAAAAACGAAGTAACAAATAATTTCAACGTTCAATGATATTTCATTTATCAATCAATCGAAGATTCTATTAGAATATATTTGTATTACCACCAACCGCCTTTACCTCTCCAGCCACCCCAACCACTTCCTCTCCAGCCGCCACCTCTCCAACCGCCACCTCTCCAGCCACCCCAACCACCTTTCCATCCGCCATAACGCCATGGTCTTCCGCGTCTTAAAAACATCGATAAAATTATGAATTTATGTAATATTAAATTTATGAATGGATATTATAAATAATTAATTCATTAATTCATTAACAAAGAGACTATCAAGTTATTTTTTAAATAATATCATTTTTATTGAATTATTTTATTAAATAATCTCGAACAAGAGTCTACTGTGCCATTTCAAAATAAAATGAATATTGGTTTCATCAAACCATTGTTCATTATAAAAAAAACGTAACGAAGTACAGAAGATACTTCTTATATGTTTAATCTCTAATGCTTAAATCTTTTACATTATATAATTTTTAAATTTCATTAGATGTTATATTATGTATCGTAAAGTAGAAAGAATGCGTAGATTATTATATCAATATTTTTGGGCGTGGATGTCGTTTAGTATGTTGAATGTCATCATCAAGACACAATTTAGCCAAAGAGGTACAAACGAAAATGTAAATATTATGTCGCGAGGCGGACAAAAAGATCATGCTCCTCAGTCGTACAGGAACTGTCGAAAGCGTAGCATACAGTGTGACAATACAGTCAGTTAAGTGCGAATTAATGTAACAAATAAATAAATTTGTAAAAATGGGTCGCGGGAAAAGATTAAATCCAACCGAAATACAGGTGATATTGAAATTAAACGAACAACATTGTTCTGTGACGAAAATAGCCAAAACAGTTAATAGAAGTCGTAAAGTGATCACGAATTTATTAAAAGATCCCGATAATTATGGAAGAAGAAAAAGTTGTGGACGACCGCAGTGTCTAACAGCTCGGGATAAACGTGCTATAATACGTCTAGCGTCAAATTCAACTTTGACTGCGAGACAAATTGCAGAAGAAGCTGGAATTACGACAAATGTTAGGAATGTTCGACGTCTTTTAAAGAATTGCGAACATCTGGAACGACGAAAATTGCAACGAAAACCTTGGTCAAAGCAACTAAAGCTGTGCCGTTTGCAATTTCCAGAGGAACATGTTTGTGTGGATAAGAAACGGCGAAGAGTCATATTTGCTGATGAAAAGAGCTACAGTTTAAACGGACCTGATGGCCCTCATTATTATTATCATGATTTACGAAAAGATCAACAACTGAATCGTCGATCCAGAAGGGGCGATGCGGCGCTATAATGATTGGTAAAATAGAAATAAAATTTATTACAAGAAAATTAAATAGCAAACAGTATATTGAGATGATTGATGAACAGATTAACACGTATGTGACACGAAATGGGTACATTTTTCAACATGATAACGCGGCCTTGCACACTGTGAACGCAGTAAAACCAGACTTTGCAAACAAAATATTCGTGTTAGAAGAGAGTCAAGTCTCTGGATTTAAATATTATAGAAAATTGTTAGAGGAATTTGGCGAGGATTGTATATCAGAAGATAATTCGCAAATATTAATGAATTTAAAAAGAATGTATTGCGGAGGAGTGGGAAGAATTTATATAAATCTTTGTTTCAAAGAATGGCTGCCGTTATTAAATGCAAAGATCATGCTAACAATAAGTACTAAATTATCAAACTCGTTTCTTCCGTTTTTATCCATTGTTTTTCATAAAACTGTGCTATCATTCTGCCGCTATGTATTATCATATTTCTATTTTTTCTTTTTTAATTACATGAGATGTATTGTGAAAAGTTAGGTTACTTACATATGTTGATAAAAGCACTACGGAAGGGCGCATATATGAAAGATTTTATCTCGTTTAATAAAAAACGTAAAGTAAATGTAATATAGTCTTAATGTTACACGTTGGCAAAGTAAGAAGAAGAAGAAATAATTCGAACTGCAATATCTTGCAAAGGAATTAACAGATAATAACAAAATAGTCAAAATATTGGGTATATATTTCTTCAAGGAGCGTTAATGGATTGAATTGCTTTTCTTGATAATTTATTTAAAAAATTATCGTGAAATGTAACAGTGGATACTTTACACTGACAATGAACACAAACACATTGATAAATATATAGATTTCATTTACAAATTTATAGTACGTAATGTTTGTTCAGAATATTTTTTTCATCAAAAATATTTGAGAAATTATAACGATCCTTTCATCTGTAACTTCTATAATATAAATGTAAAAGTAATAAAAATAAGGGTGTGACTCTAAACATGATATTGTGATATTGTGAATGAAGATAATTTATTTCATTGCAATGCATGACTTTAAATACTTTTTAATATATGATAGATATGTATTTTATCATGTACTATTTCATTTCTAGTATATGACAAAGATTAATTCATTTTAATTTACCCATAGGAGCTTGCATCAGCATCTAAATCTAATTGTAAGTTGTTGGTATTATTTGAGGAAGGTTCAATCTCTGCGGGAGTACGTTCTGAAGGCTCTTCCAAACAGGATACCAGAACCACAATTAAGAGTAGTAAAATCTGTGTATGAAAAATATAAATTAAATATAATTTACTTACATGTAAGACGTGTAACATGTACATTTCTAAATGTAACATTACTTACATGTAACATATAATTTACTCACGTGTAAAATAGTATATATATTATTAACAAAGAGAACACTAATTTCTTCTTTTTTTTATATATATACAGGGCGTTTCATTTAATTGGAAACGGTAAGATATCTCAAGAAGGATTAAAAGGGACGTTATGCGATGCAAATTATTTTTTTGCAGGTCAAGACAAACAACATTTTAATAAAAATTTTTAATTTTAACCTCTCGTAAAGTTTCCATTTAAACGGAATACTCTGATTTTTATTATTCATATCAAATACTTATGTTTTCTAAAATATTGTATATGATATCGATGCATCACTTATTTTGTAAAATATAATGCAAACCGAATCAAAGATTATTTGGAATAAATTATGAAACGTATAACAGAATAAAATGAAATAAAAAAATTAATGAAATTAAAGAAAAACTCTTTATATATTGCGGATATTCACCATTTCTTGTGTTGGTCTATATTATATAGTCAAATACATTACTTTATGTTTTTATTATGATTGTCATATTTTATTAATTTCAAATGCAATATATAGTACGTATTCTTAGCAAAGACCATTGTAGGCACTGAATTCAGCAAATGATTTCTGATAAATATATATATTATGACTATACTGTCAGAAATGATTTAATCGAAACTTCTAAACCTCGAAACCCCTTGAGTTTCAAAAATTTGGAATTTCGTATTTTTTGCGTGATTCGGAACTCTCGAAACTCAGATAAAATCAATGAATAAAGAATTCATTTATAATGTAAATAAAGAATATTCGATTTATGTGCATTTATGTGCATCTATTCAGCGCGAGATGCGTGATTTCCGTTTTTAAGGATATAAATAGATTACGGTCGTAATTTTAAAATTGGTATTGATATAAAATATTTAAATTTACAGAAATTATAAAAAAAAGAATTATCTTGTTACATAACAATCTGGAAAGCTTTTTCACAGTATACATATATAATCGACAAAAAAAAAAGATAGGTTAGATCCAGAGAAATATCGTTTATCGTAGATATTTAGATATCGTTTTTTTTTTTTTTTTTTTTTTTAAACAAGAATATCTGGCTTACAATTAGATATTTTCGTATGTCATGTTTTTATTTGTATTCTGTTTAATTGTGATCGATTGAAATTAAACTATCTCTTAAAACAGGAAATTCTTCTTATACATTTCAACTTTCGAGAATTTCGAGAATGTGAAAATCGGTTTTCTTGAGCTCATTCCTAATTATTATGTTTTAAATAGACAGACAGTCAAAAAATATTCTATAAAATTTTCGAAAAATTATTAGAACTCGAATGAAATAGATCTTATCTATCATTCAAGTGTGTTTCGATTGTCCCACAATATTTTGGCCCATAAAGGATTAAATCGAAAAATATTGATGAAATATTGAATTACGGATGAAAATAGAAAAAAGGACGGGAAACAGTTGGCGAATAAAAAACATATGTGTAAATAACCGAAGCAAACAGAATAAATTTTTTACTTACCAAGTGCACTGGTCGAGGCATTCTGAGAACTGAAATCACATCGGTCAGGATCATGTTTATATATCTCTTCATGCGCAAAGAAAACTTGAGGTTGCACAAGGATAATAAAAGATAAACCGGTAAATGTTGAAGAAAAAAATACAATTGGAAAATATTTCCTACTGTCTTCAATGATTTATAGCGTACGTAGTATTTTAATTTTCTCATTATGTAAAATAAAATCTTGTTTACAACAAAAAATTAGTGTATTAGAAAGACATTCGCTTTTTGAAGAAATTGCAGAATAATTGTACTATATTATTCCTTTATTCAGTAATAATTTTCATCTTTATATAATAAGTTACTTTATCTTATCTGATATCTTCTATATATTTTAACAAAACCAATATAATTTTTAATAATAGTACTTAAATATTTTACTATTTTTTTAAATAAATTTTTGTTAATTAAATTAAAGTATATCTTAGTATTTATTTCATTAATTTTTATATGTAAATTAAATTTATATGAAAAAAGCTGAGTATTTATATGTTTGACACATTTATTTTTGGGATTAATAATTAGATTAAATTAAATGTAAATAATAGTATACTACATTATTACATTATATATTATTACATATATATTAATACATTTTACTGTTTATTTTATTAATTTTTATATATAAAATAAATTTATTTAAAAAGAAGTACATATTAATAGTTCATAATTTGCGATTAATTCAATTTATTTTTTTCAACAAAAATATTAATTCATGTATTTAACTTATTTATTTAATAATTAAATTAAATTAACTAGCACTATGTTATACATTGGTTACATGTCCAAATAAATAAATAAACACAAGCGCATGTGTGTGTATTTTGCATGCAGATATATAGAGGTGCATATAAAGAGTTAGGAAACAAAAAAACAAAAAAAATAGTAGAAGTAATCAAATATTATTTAATGTTTTTCCAAATTAGTCTTGAACAAAGGGTCAATATATCAGATGAATACACACCAGTTTTCAAAGTAGGCTGGTTACATTCCAGTTCTTTTCAAGCACAACTTTTATTCTTTTTGAAAGAAGAAGTAAATACATTGTTGTTCTTTGTTTTGCATTTTCTGCAATATATCAACTGTTGACAAATTATTTCAATTAAGCTGTAACTATTAATATCTGTATATTAAGAGGATGCTTAATGTGTTGGGAACAGTATTTAAACTTCTTAATTGACAAATTAATTTTTTATAATAGAAGTCATTATGACAATGAATTCTATTTATTTGTTCTAACAAATTTCTAAAACTGTTTATAAAATATATAAATATATAAAATATAAATAATATATAATAATATATAAATATATAAAATATGTGAAATATACATAATATATAAATTTCTAAAACAATATTTTCTTTTATTGTTTCGTGTATTAAAAACAAATGATTCCTTATGGTTGTAACTTTTTAAGTGTAGCAATAAATATGGCATTTTATTTCGTTCGTTATTAACATGGATTTCATTTATTTGGACCAAATTTCAATGTCTTGTTAAATGAATTCTTGCTAGAACCTGAACTCGTATTATGTAAACGAAAATATGCAAGAAATTGCTATATTACTATGCAGGTTGTATATATTATAATATTATAATATTTATAATCATTTTACTTTTTGTAATTCGCGTTACATAGTAACATAATAAGATATTTCACAATGACACCGCTTTATCGAAAAAATTAATTTATAAGTAGAAAACTTTCTTTCTACGTACATTGATATGTATTTAAATTTACTTCAATATCGTGCTGGAATATTCTTTCGTACATGTACATTATTTTAAATTTTTTCTTACACAGTGCTGAAAGTAAAGATTGCATCCAGGTATATTTTGACCTAATCGACTATATCCATATATATTCTGATAGGTATATGGGTATATATTTCTTGAGAAAATTGTTCCACTTTATATTGTCTAAGCATTGTTTAAAAACAGGTATTTTTACATTCACCATTGCTTAACGCAAGTCACTATAAAATTGTTTCGCGTTTGCCATTTCATTACTTGTTGTTAAATCATTATGCATATTTCTTCTACGATCAGCAGTGTTTGCATGATTTTCTATCGTTACACGACTGGTAATGAACATCTCCTACGAGAATAACAATTCTATCAGCTACTTCACTTAACCATTTGTTAACACTAGAATTATCGATTAAGCCATAAAATTTTCATCAGAAAAATTGAAGTAAAAAAACGAAAAAAAAAAAAAAGGAAATATTTTCACAGTAAATACAGTAAAGAAGCTTTTACTTTACGAAGAATCATTCAAATCTCGGAATATACTGTTTCACGTTTGTAAAATTTCTAAAAATAATTGTAAATCGGTCGTTTTCACTATTCTGGTAATTCCAGACATTATTATGAAAACTGAGAAGCATCTTCTAACAATCCTAAAAACGATTGAAATCAAATTAACGTCTTGAGCGTTGCTCTGTAAGCTATAATCATTTACTTACGTGTTGTTTCGGATCTTATTGATGTTGAATTGAAAATCTGTTGAACAGACGTCACACGACAATTGCAATGGAAGCAACGTGAATCATAAATTCGTGATTCATAAATTGTTGCAAAGAGGACCGGCGGGAAAAAGGAAGAAATATGCAGGAAATAGGTAATATATTCAGTCATCTTTTTTTTTTTCATTTGAAATATGCAAAAACGTAATGAAGTATATGCATTTGCGTAAGTATCCGCAGTCTAATACTTTTTTTTTTTTTTTTTTTTTTTTAAGATTCTCACGTGCAATTCACCGTCTGTAAACACTATTACAAAATCACGAACGAATGTTGTACATTGAGTAATGTATATAAGTGATCACTATGTATGTAGAAAGTAAGGCAATTTTATGTATACGAAAAACAAAACTTCTTCACTTTCGAAAGACTTTTTCGTTCTCAAGTTTATAAATTGAACGAAGTTCGGAAATTTCCATGTTCACAACCACAAGACTATGATATAATGTTGTTCAGTAGATAACAAAGAAAAGAAAAAAATGTTCCGGCCACGTTTTCATAACATGTTACATTTGAAGAATTATAGAGGGTGATTCTACATGAAAAAGTAAACAAAAAAGTTTGACAGAAAGTAATAAACACATTTACAATGAAAAAGAATCTTTAGTTGTTGTATGTATATATATATATATATATAATAATAATTATTACATTAAAATTTTTATGTAATAAAATTACGCGATCACGGAGTAGTAACCCATTCAGGCCAATTTTTGATCTGATTCTGAAGTTGGAGTCCAGGACTTAAAACATTTCTAACTTGTCTGGCACCAATTACACGAACGTTTTCCCGAAGTGTTCCTTGTGACTTGCCACAGAGAATTAATTTGTACGCGGCATTCAGCATTTCATCACTTGCCGCCTTTTCTGTAGAGGAAATTAATTTAAATTTAAAATAAAATAACGATTATAATAATAAGCAATGCTTGTATTAATTACACAAAAGTAATAAAAATAAAATATAAAGTGCCAATGTTTCGTGAGATACCTTCAAAATTTCCAACGAAAGCAATGGAGATTGACTTTTTATTGTATCCGTACGTGTGAGCACCCTCGCGATTCCAGCCGCAACCCTCGTATATATTCCCATCTCCACCGATTACGAATCTGTATAATTATTTCGTTATTTTAATAAAAAGAATTGCTGTCACTTGTCACAAATCTTTAATTTTGTTTCAAACTCGTCGATTTTACAATAAATTTATTTAAAATTCAGTAATTTAATTTCCGTTTAAAATATTAAAGTGTAAACAGCAATTTTATTAAATTTTTATTAAAATATCAATATAATAATAATAATATAATAAAGTTCAAGTTCAAGTTCAAGTAAATTCAATCAGTAAAAGTTAGTTCTTTAGTCAGACTGAAATCTGGTTCAAATAAACGGAATTAATATATAGAAGTATATTTAATAGAATGAATTAATTTGATTTTATACAATCCTATATTTGTTGTGAAATAAATATCTACTTAATATATTTGAAATAATACTTAAGAATATCCTATATCATGCCACTTGTTATCACCCATGTGATGTTGTCGAATGCTTTCGACTACAGCGATGCATGTACTTCTACTGTTACATTCTGATGTAACTGTATGATGAATTATGACATACGGAATGGGGATAATCAAATAATTCACGCTTCTTGGTTCTATATCGGTCCACTCGCTCCGTTTGATGATCTCAGGGCAATTTTCATCTTTTGTTTAAAAAACAGAAAAGAATTTGCCTTCGAGGATCGTTCACATTTTACATGCATGATGATTTGTAACATCAATTCAATTTTTTATTTTCTCTTCAACTAGTACCTATATTATTTTTTCACTTTACAAGTCAGAAACAAATTGATTAAGATTTATATAAAATGCTTCGTTCTTTAAAAATGGCTGACGTCTGTCGTTATAATGGTTTTCATATCACATGATAATTTTTCATCTTCAATCATCTTTTTCATATCACATAACAAATTTTGATGATTATCGTATCATTTTGCTTAATAAATAAATATATATATATATATAATGTATAATAATATATATTTATTATATATATATACTATATATATGTATATATGTATGTATATGTATATATGTATGTATATATATATATATGTATATATAATACATATTATATATATTATATACATATGTGTTATTAAATAACATTACAGAAATTTTTGAGAAAAAAGATATGCTTGATTCGAAGAAAGAAAATTTATTAAAAATCACGATTATTTTGTTTTTAATAATCTTACCTATCTATCGCTTTAATCTCTTAGCATAAATAATTATACAGAAAAATCGGGAAATGCATGCAGAAATATTATGTTTGAACTATATATATATAGTTTTATGATACTTAAGATTGTTTAAAGACCACGCTGCATAAATATTTGTCATAGCGATAGATAAAATAATAATTAGTTTTACAAAACTGCTAGCTTTTTCAAAAGAAGAAATTTAGAAAAGTATTGTTATTTGTCAATAGTAGTTATATATATAACTAATTCTATCACTATGAATTTATTATTTAATGTATCATTATACAGAAAATATAGAAATAAATATAAAATAAATATATAAATCATACAGAATATGTTATTATTATTTTAATTTTACTCTATGATTTTAGTAAAATTTTATTAATCTGTTTGATAGCATTTAAATAATAACTTACCACAGGCACAAACACAAAATAGGAGGAAGATCATGAACATTAGTTTTTGCATTTTGCAAGTTAAATTAATTTTCGCAGTTGCAGATTAATTGAATTAAATTGCAATTGAAACTGGTACGTTCATTTACAAAACTGCACACACTAATTTATTTAAGTGTTAATCATAGAAGACGAAGCGACTGACTGATGAGAAGAAGAAATATTCAACAATGCAAAAGGTGCTTATGTTCGGAAGTTATCTCATACGACCAAAGTTCACGACTAATCTAAATCAGCGTTAATTCATTTTTACATTTTTTTCCTTTCTTTTCCCTTGAAGGAAAGTGCAAAATATATATTATTTAGCGGAAGATGTATTATTTAATGTTAATATAAAGACATATACTGTGTCCTAATTTTAAACGGCTAGAAGAAGGAAGAAAAGTTTAATATAAAATTCGTCAGCAAAAACTCCGTTACAGAGTTATAAATAAATTATTTTATGTAATAAATAGATGACGACACGTTTTGCTTTATCATTCGATCACTCGATTATTACTTTAAAAATGAAATATTTATTCAACAAAAGTGACATTATTGACGAAAAATTATTGCAACGAATTAAAAATATAGTTTCCAGGGGCTTCGTTGTGTTCACCAATATCAAACTTGTATCCAAGGATAAAGACGACACTTCGAAGTGAGAAATTAAAAATACTCGTTTTCTATTATATTGTAATTTATAACGAAATTGTTATTACATAATAAGATATGTACTTAACTACGTTGGAAAAGATAAAACAGCCAACTACTGGAAAATATTACACATTTGTGTAACTCTTAACAATTTGTTTAAAACTTTGTGACAAAGCGACGTACTTTAACATTTTATTTTTCTTCTTGCCTGTAGATGAATCCCTCGCAATTTATTTAAGTCCGGGACATCCTGTATTTTTTTATTATATAATAAAAATATTTCAATAGAAAATTTACAAACAGTTCCTAGTTTGATTATCTGAAATTTTTGCCCGATTCATGTTGATTAATTATTGTTGTAGAAACTTTAAATAAGATTAACACATATGTACAGTTAATGTTAATGCGTTGATTTTTATTTATTTTTGACGTCCTCGTTACTTTTACCGATACGGATGAATACGTCAAGACTACGTCAAAATTACTCAATTGAGTACGATAAATGATCATGATTTTTTTTCCCTCTTAAGGTCATTGACATCTACACTGCATATAGTGATTCTCATTAATATTCAGACATCTAAATATTTAGATTGTCATAATTTTGTAATGAAACATCAAACAATAATAAATCTGGGCTTGCTTTCATACTTGAATCCTCTACTTTCAAAATGTTCACCATCGTTCATTTTATTCTAAAATTTATCCTTAGAGGGAAGATAGAGAGTGAGTAAGTTTTCTTCTTGAAAATGCCTTAAATTGTCATGGTATACAAAAGCATTGAAGAATTTTTCTTATGATTGAATGTACAATGGATTTAGAGATTGAAGCCACTCTCTTCACAGCGATTTCCGAAATCTTGATGACCATGATTTTTTTATTGTCATCAGTTTATTGGATTCTGAATGTGAAGCTTAGACGATGAAAATTCACGAGATCGCAATATTTTCGTCGTTATATTTGTTTTCCTTTAATGTTCAAAGTTCAATAAATCGAAGAAAAAAGATCGTAGAGCATTGAGGTTTGAGAGGTCATAGTAAAGAGGAGATTTCAATATTTAAATCTATCGTAGACTCTCAATCAGTTATGAAGAAAATTTTTCAATATTTTTACACATACTTTTATGACGTTTTACAGTATTTTCGAGAAGAGAAGTGTCTTCATTTTTTTATCTGTTAGATAGTCTAATAACATCTTAGAATAAAACGAATAATATTGAATAATATATGATAATAAAATAAAGAATGAGTAGTACAAAATCATTATATACAATGAAAGTCACATACTTCTTTTTTCACGTATTTTTTAGTTATTTAAAAAAAAAATATTAAAGTTTATATCCAAAAACTATTGATTTGACACATACAATTTTTACATACTTTTTTTTTCACGCATCAGTTGATGCATTTTTTTAGTTATTTAAAAAAAAATTTTAAAGTTTATATCCAAAAACTATTAAATTTGAAAGATATTCTAATTTTCAATCTCATTAAACTTGTCGTATGGTAAAACAGAAGAAAAACACAAAACAATCCAAGTTTGTATTTCTTTGCTCTTATAAAGTTTAAAAAAAAGTATAGTTGAAGCATCGTTCGAATTAATATTTTAGGTATGTGCTAATATTTTTTTCTTTTAGTAAAAAAATACTTCATCCCATGCATCTGAATTTATTCATATTGTCAAAAATAATAAAGATATCAAGATAAAAAAAAAGGCATCCTGTGTATATCCTGTATGTACAAATTGTTCAGTGTCTCGTAACTTGAATTTTTGAACAAAATTTTACATCTGACACGGATGAAAATTTCATGGCGGTATAATAAGTATAATAAGTATATTAAACAATAGAATTGCATATAACTCCCTTAAATTGCAACGTTATGGAAAAGTGTTTATTTAATTTTCAAATATATAGGCTTCAATAGATATACACATATGTACACATAAATACAGAAGCCGTGTGTGTAAATATTCTTGACAATCAGACTTCAGCTGGAAAAGGACATCCGTATTTTTTAATTTCGCATGAATAATGAATTTTAAATACAAATTTCTTGTTGAATGGATGTTTCGATTTTCATGCGGACTGATGTAACCTAACCTAAAAAAAAAAAGAAAAAAGAAAGAAAGAAAGAAAAAAGAAATGTTAGGGAATTTATTGATAACGATTGGTACTGTCGTGTTTCTAAATAATCGTAGCTACAGTGCGTAGCTCCATCTAGGAGCGTCGGCTACCGACGTCCGCCGCGGCGGCGACAGAGTCAACATCCGGCGACGCAGAGATGCGCACGTTTCGGCGCTCGCCGAGGGAAAAGGGACGCCGCGGTCGTGACTTCGGGACATGAGAGCGACGATGAAGAAGCCCGCCAGCCTGCACAGCAGCACCTGAGGAGCACGCTTGCTTCCATCAGTACTTGTCCAACGAGGAATTCGGCCGGCTCACTTCGGATTTACGCAGAGGCCCGGTCTTTAGGACCCGTGAAGCACATCATTCCGAAACGCGGCCGAGAGAGGCTAACTTTTTCCACCAACGAGGTAACACTCCCTTCGTGCCGTAAATGGGTTCTGCAATCCTCTTTTTTAAATGGAAATTACCGAAGATCATTGCACGACCTCGTTCGTCTGTCTGATTATCAAATCCCCTGACTCGATGGGCGGGTATCACTCGGTTTCGTGAATCTTGCCGATTAAATTAGCCGCGAGTGCAACTTAACAAATACCAGTTTTCCCTTGTTCTACGAAGGATCGTGTGTTTGTAAGAATCTCGTTTTTTGACAATTGTCTTTCACTTTCGTTTCGAACACGCAACCCTTGTGTTCTGTTGGCATCGATGAAATTATCAGCTTTGATTAATTCCGTTCGCGCATATAATTTTTTTTTTTTTTGTGAACATGAAATTCACGAAATTCTTTTTACCGAGGTTATTCAATTATTCTGTGCGATGTTTGTTTATATGTAGCAAAGCACAAGTGTATACGAACATCTGGTTTATACATATATCGTGGATTTATTTTATTTTTGTTTTTAAATAGCAAAGTGTTGCTTGCGTGAAGCAATGTTTATTCTATCAATGAGAACATAACAGTACATGTATATAACCTCGCAATACATTTTTTTTTGATTTTAAATCAAGTAGCATTTGTTATTTTGCATGTAATTGTAAATTCATTTTTTATATGTGGATTTGTATCTATTTGCTCTAATATTTTCAATTAATCTCATCTAATTATTTGTGTATTTTATCGCACATTATTATATTGAAAGGATAAATTTTACTGAAATTACGTTTCGTATTTCATTCAATCTTTTAGGTGAGAAGTAAACTATTCGTTTAATAATTTTTGGTGAGGATTGATCATTGATATCAAGAGTGTTTATCCTTTGTGCATCTTGTTCAAAGAGGTTCTCGACATCCACAGTTCAGGGCAAGAGGTTTGTGTCGTTATATCTTTGATAATTTATGGATTTAATTTACTTTATCGTATTTACCATTTCTTATTAACATAACAATGATGAAAAGTGTGTTATTGAAAAGTATGTAAAATTTTATTGTTTAAATAGTGTCTTACTACCTGCTACCTTTCAAGACATTATTTATACTTACTACCTGCTACCTTTCAAGACAAATATTTTATAGCTTAAGTAAATCATTTTAGAGCCATGTCATCAGGTGCAGGTTCCAGTGGAACTGGCCGGGGGCGTGGTTCATCACTGGCAGACAATAAGCCAGAGAGCAAAGAAGCGAAGCCTAATCCAAAGATGTCGAAAGCTTTAGGAACTTCCGCCAAAAGGTAGCACATCCATCATCCAAAATTAAAAAGACTCTGCCATGGAGACTTAACAAGAGCTTAAACTAATCTTCTTGTCGCAGGATACAAAAAGAATTGGCAGAAATCACATTAGATCCACCACCAAATTGCAGGTTTGATATCTTTTTTAAATTTTTTCTTTTAACCATTTATGTTATTTGCTTTAATAATTTATGAAAGCATTTAAACACATACATATTATATATGTTATATAAAACATTTTGAAACGTCATTAGCATTGCGAAATACCACAGATATTGCAAACATATACAAGATTAGGAAATTAATAAATTCTTTAATAAAATAAAAGCTGGATAAAATATATATTTGTATGAACTTTTCTTGTCCTCGTACAGAATCTATTGTCAAGTGATATTTCTGATGCTATAATTAGTACATGGCATAAATAATTTAATAAATCTTAAGCATATTTGTCAAAAATATTGAGGATTTTTAATATAATACTTTTGTAATCTGTATATATTTATATTAAATATCTTATCTAATTTATATATTATGCTAACAATCCAGTTTCATAATAATATTAATGAGCTTTCAAATTGTTTTATATAACATATGTAATATATTCATAAAATAAATGTTCAAATATTTTTGTGAATGGTGTTAAACATTAACACTATTTTGTATATCAATAAATAATAATACTGATATTAAAGTAAACATCTGTAACTAATTTTATTTTATTATTTATATCATTATATTTGTCCATTATTAATCCTTTCACTGTTTAGTCAAGTAAAGAATAGTCTCATTCTTTAGTCTAGACGTTGTAGAAACAACACAATGAGTGGATTCACTATTTAGTTTGTATTGTAACAACAAATGGTTCATTTTTTGAGCATTTTTTTATAATTTCATTCGACAGTGAAAGAATTAAAAATAGTTAGGGTTAGAAAGAGTAAAAAATATGTATGCTGTACAATTTATTTTCTTACTGTTAGAATAGACTAATGGTCTAATTTTAGCAAAATCTTAATTTTTGCTCTCATTTCTCATATTATTAAATAATTTATGTAACTTTATTTTATTATAGTGCAGGACCTAAGGGAGACAATTTATATGAATGGGTATCAACAATACTTGGACCTCCAGGTTCAGTTTATGAGGGAGGAGTATTTTTTTTAGATATACACTTCTCTCCAGAATATCCATTTAAACCTCCAAAGGTATGTTTATAATATAATTAACTATTAATTATTTGATAAATTTATGCCAAAAATTGTTTAAAAATGAACGAATATAAAATTTACAGTAAATTGTTTTGCTTTTGTTTCAATACATACTACTTATAAAATTTATATTAAATTTTTCAAGTAAAAGTTGGAATTGAATAAAAATTCCAATTAAAATTTGTTGTGTGTATTTATGTGAAATGTTGATTGAGATCCTATGTGAAATAATCATAGTTGTTTATACATTTATGAAAAATTTAGAAGTATGATAAATATATGTAAAAATATAAAATACATGCAAAAGACTTGTTATCATATTTAAGAAAACTGTGAATTTACATACATAAATACCATAATGTGCATACAGTGAAAATGTTTTATCTTTTGGGAACAATAAGCTGGTTCTGTCATCTTTTGGATATTAATATCATTTATATTTAAAATGTTCTATCACTAATAATAATCTATTAATTTTGTACAGTTGTATGAAACATCAGTAATGTCAACATTTTTTTCATAAGTTTACAGTAAGATTTATAAAATATAATAATATTAAAAATAGAAAGAAAGTGTTTACAATTAATAACTATGAAAATGTAACTAAAATCATAGGGTTTTTGTTGAATGCATTAAATAAAAGATAATTTACTTTAATAATTAATATTGATAATATTTATTCACTTTTAAAATAAGCTGTTTTATTAATTTTAGTGTTTTATATATTTTTTATATCAATTTATTTTATATTAAGAATTTCTTTGTTTTTACATTTCCTAAATTATTAAGTAACATTTTTATATGATATTTTCATCCTGGGATCAATCAATCAATATTAAGAAATCAAATTTTAATAATTCTTCATTAATATGTAATTTTGTACAGTAATTTTGTATATCAAAATTGAACAGAAATAATTTCGAAGTAAAAATAATAATTTGTTTGAACATTCAAAAAAATTTAAAAGCAACAATGCAGTATATTTTCTTTGAGAAACAGATTTTTATAAAACATCTGTAATTTCTGTAATTTCTTATCAAATTGTAGATCATTTGTGAAAAATATTGGAATAAATAAAGAGGCATAAAATCATTAATATGTAATTAATGTTAATATGTTTTTAGGTTACATTCCGAACACGTATCTATCATTGTAACATCAATAGTCAGGGTGTAATTTGTTTAGATATTTTAAAGGACAATTGGTCTCCTGCGTTAACCATTTCAAAGGTTCTATTGTCCATCTGTTCTCTTTTAACAGACTGTAATCCAGGTGAGATAAACAATATAATATTATAGTTAAATTGCTTTAAACAATAATGTATATTTTTTTCAAATAAAACTAATAAAATTAATTTATTTGTATTGAGAATAATTGTTTATTTGTATCAAGAATAATTGTTTTTAATTTTACTTTCACAATATTGCTAAAATGAGTGTCTTAAATAAATAAATATATTGTATAAAATAAGCGAATTGATATATTCATTATTATGTTGTTTATATTATGATATTGTTTATGTTTCAGCGGATCCTTTAGTAGGAAGTATAGCAACACAGTATCTACAAAATAGAGAAGAGCATGATCGCATAGCACGGCTTTGGACTAAACGTTATGCTACATGAATGACATTTTGAAGAAAAAAAAAAAAGAAACTGATCTCCTTGTTCTTTCAAAGCGAACTTAAGGGAGCCCGTTTAACTACATTAAAATTTTGATTATTCGGACATTGATCAATTATTTTTGATAAATTAATAAGAATAATTACAAATTTTTTTTTAATTAATCGAACGTAGGTTTAAATTTGTTTTAATGTGGTATTTTTCTTTAAGCTATATTTCAATTAAAATTATTTGTCATGGTTTAGAATATTGTTACGTTAATCATATATACATATATTTTCATTGGTAAATTGTGATTATTTTGCAGACTTATTATTTCACTAGTCAGCATTAAGGAAAATTACCTTACATTAATGAAAGCTAAATAGCTAACAAAGATGTTCGATTACTCGAAGAAATATTACGAAAAGTGCTTGATAATTTTTTTTGTTTATGTTTAAAGTACATTTCTTGATAAATATAATTAGTGACTATAAATGATCATTCGAATAATCACAATTCAGGTTCTCTGCACCTTCGAAAACTTATCGTATGTATATGTATATCTATCGAAGGATTGCTTTAAATGAAAGACTCTTTAAGATCGTCGATACGATCATTGTGATGTGCTTTTATATCGAGTATGTAAATGTGCCTAAGATGAATGAATGTGCGTGCATGTGCTACCTTGCTAACTCTCATTTTCACCCCGCAGCTCTTGAAATATTTATATCTTCCAAAATGTATTCTTGTGAATACTGATGATGCCATTAAAATATACATTTAGCCCTAACATTTAATCTTAAATAATTTTGCCATTTCATTGATCTTTATGAAGATATTTTTTTTTTTAGAATAAATTTGTATAAAAAATACGTGCATCAATTCGACTCAAAGTTTTATAGTAGAATTCTTTTGAGCAGTAAATTTTTACATAACAATACATTTGATGACTGATATTAACAATTGATATTAGTATAGCGTATTTAATTCAAGAAAATAGTTTTTATTCTAAAATATAAATCTTTACTCTCACACTATACAAATCTTTTTTTCAAAGTAAAGATTATTGTACAATGTCTTCCAAAATTAGAAGTGATTTATTTTTCAAGATAAAACAACAGATTGGAGTTATGCATTTATATAATATATATTTTCGTAATTACAATAAAAATCTCTTAGGTTTTTAGATTTTCTTAAAAGTGCGGCAAAAGGGTGAAAAAGTGAAAGTGAGGGCTTTTCTGTCTTTTCCTTTTTCCTTCGTTTCTTTTATTTGCTCGTTTTAAAAATTGCGATAGTATTTAAAGTGGTATGTCCATTGAGAGTATCGAATAATATTAATAGGTTAGGCAATATTATGAACAATACAAATAATCTGACTTGTAAGTAATTAGGCTGGTAGTTATCGTAAGGGTCCCTTTAAGATTTCGAATTGTTCATATAATTGATTATCGAAATTAATTTCTACTTGATCATATTTCATTCCATCGAGATAAGAAAAAAGAATGCATACTAGGAAGAGATTTTTTACATAAATTTCAATCCATTTATTCGGTAACAATAACGCCTATGAAAAACTAAATTTTGATAATACTGTTGTAAATGTAATATATATCAATGCGCCTTTCAAGATGGTTTTAATCGGGCCCATAAAAATTTAAATCGCTGTAAGTGTAAATAAACATAATTTTCTCTATGTTAACAATATAAAAATTCATAGTCCATGGATCCCATGAAATTTGTATTGATTGCATTAACAAATAATTCAAGAAATCCTTGAATAATTTTTCTTATAAAATGTTTAGAAATGAATGAATGAATTTTAAATTTGGTATGACCAATTCGTATAATTCATCTAATTCATATAATCAATTATTTAACAAAGTCAAACATATACCAATTAATTATTAATTATAAATTAATTATTAGTTAAAAGATACATTGGTATGAAAATTGTATTTATCTATTAATATTGCAAATTGAACAGTAAAAGTCTCAAAAATTTAAACAATTTACTGTCTTAATTATTTCATTTATTGCTTGTACAGTTTATGTCGCATAGAGGAATTTTGTTTTTTATTTGATTGAAATTACTGACGTTGAGATTCTTGTAAATATATTCTGTGAAATTTTTAATAAAATGATCTATGGATCTTTTGGACCCCAGAAATTGTATATAAGTCGTACGTAGAAATTTGCTCTTTTGTAATTAAATGTGAAAAAAAAGTAAAAACATTTTTAACAAAGCGTGTTTTATCATACAAATTATGTAAAGGAAATTGTTTAAACGATTCTTTGAGTCATTTAAAGAATCGCAAAGGGAAGAGGTTCCAATAATTTTCAAAGTATCCTAACAACTTTTTGTAATTCATGCAAAAAATCGTTTAAACGGATTCCTATCCTATTTTCTCCTGTGAATTTCTTTTACTTTCTTTTCAACAAATAGTTGTAAGACGCTACAAGAGAGCATCCTATATGATTAATAAATGTTAGTCAGCTAATCTGAGCTGTAAGTGAATATAGAACAAAATAAAAGAAGAAAATCTGGTCGTATAGAATTTTTTATTGGTCTTTATCTTCGAGTAATTATTTTTATTTTAATTTCTTTTTAAGACAATACTTGTTTCTTCAAAACAAAACTTGAAACACACAAGTAATTGAAATGCGTAAATATAATTTCACGTTAATAATTAACATTACAGTCAATGATTGGAAATCAATGGAAATAATAGTCAATTGAGCATACAAACGCAATGCTTACTTAATATATTTTATTTATATAGATAAAAGCTATATGAACAAGACGTGCTAGAGTGGTCTGCCCTTAAAGAACGTTAATAATATACTAATTAATGAATTAAATTACAAGTAGAAAAATATTGTAAGCGACTAAATGCCACAAAAGAAAAAAAAAAACAACTATTTACTTCTCATTTAATACTGACTTTGTTTTTTTTGTTTTTATTACATTATTATCAGTCTTTTCTTTTTATCAGCCAATCATCTAAGGTAACATTCGAATGCCGATTTTTGTCTGTCACATACATGTAGCGCGAATTACAATTTTTTTTTTTTTTTTTTTTTAAGAAATTATATAAATCGATGTAGATCAAATATTACCATTAAATGAGAACGTTTCTTATTGAATATAAAGATCTTAATATTATAACATCTAGTATATCGTTATCGTGTAAAATCTAATTAGTCTAAAATTAAATGCATGTACATACATCGAAAGTAATTTAACACAAATACTTCAACATCTACACATTTATACAATTTAATATTATATGTTAAAATCTTATATAAATTTCAGGAGGAAGTAGAAACTGTGAAAATTAAATCCATTTAAAATAAAAAAATAAATAAAAATTACAAATTAGTAGAAATACTTTAAATTATAATTATAAAAAATACAAACACAATTTGAAGAAACAATTAAAAATAAAAATAAAAATTAAATGAAATTCTATAATTAAGACAGAAATAAATCATGACAAAGATTTGCCACATACCGAATTATTTATCTTAAAGGAGTAAACTTTTTGGGTGCTTAGTTTCAATTAAAATAATTGGTTAAATATATCATTTAAATTAATTACTTCGATCAATTCTAATATATTAATCAATGATTTAGACACGTTGCAAAAAATTAGGCACACTTTGATGCTTCAGTATTATCTATTGAGAAATACTTTTCTCCGCTTGTGATTTTCCATTATTTAGAACTTATTGAAACCTCGCTTATTTTTCTTTTTATATACTTTCCTTAATCATAATTCATGATTAACTTGGTAATCAATTATAATTTACACAAACATAACGTATACATGTTGAAAGATTTGATTTTTATATAACATTAAGAAATTATATAAAATTATTAATTGAATGATTCATTTTTTATAACAATTGAAAAAAAATGTCTTACTACGCTGAATTATTTAAATTATAATAAAATATAAAAGGTAATTGTCCATAATAATTCTAAAACTTATAACATACTGTTCAAGGAGAATGATCAAAATATATAATTTGTTACTAAATGATTTCAAGGTCAATAGTTGATGAAATTATCTTCATACTCAGCAATTATTTTCGATGTTTTGGATTTTTTACTTTCTTTCGTTGTTAAAATATGCGAGATTTCAAACAGAAAAAACAATTATAACAATTGCAACAATTATGATAGAATTCGTTAAATCGACGCAATGCCATAAATTTGTTTTTTTTTTTATTTTACAAATTTTGCAATGTTTTTGGAAGCTGTTCTATTCAAACAATAGAAAACACTTGTCGTCGCAAACTTTAATAATTCGTACCAGATAATGCGTTCAATGTCGTTAATTCTCTCACTGTAGAAATTAAAACTTTGGTCCCGATATACGATTAGTTACAAAATTATAATGCACAAAAAAGTGTAACGATCTTTTTTTTTTTGTTTCAGAGATGAAATTAATTAATACATTTCGTAAATTTCGTATATTTCATTTAATCAATTGTATATCATTTTTAAAAGTTTATAATTTTGTGAAAAATACGAATTATTGTTATTTGATTGTTCTTAATACTGAAATTATGCAAATTATTACACCGTATAAAAGAGTACAATTATTAAAGTTATTTGTTTTTGTAAAACTGTTCAAAAATATTTAATGCATTTCATGATAAAATTCTTTTCTTTGACTAAGAATTGTACTTTATAATATATGATTTTTATATCAATGTTTTAGATATTAGAGCTGGGTAAACGTATTTTCATTATTCCAAAATTAAAGTTCATAGATAATAATTATAATTATGGTTAGTTTTAGTCTTTATATATGATCCGTTTAGTTTTTATTTACTCTTATTATATATTACTTTTAGCATATTACTTTTTGAAGATGTATTTTGTAATTATTTTTATATTATATCGATATATCTAAAAATTGTTTTTTAAATTTGTATTATTGTATTAATAAAAATCATGAAGCATAGAATATAAAATATTACTTATTCAAATTTAATAGCTTATTGTTTAAAATCATTTTTCTGTCATACTATAAGATTTAAAAATACAATATTTACCCAACTCCATGCGAATAAAAAAGATTTTATACAAATAAAATAATTAGAATGAATTTAACGTGCTATAAAATTTGAAAGACAATTTTTCTTCCCAAAAAATTCAAGTTTTGAAAGAGCGATAAATATCAAGCCAAATATCTAATGACCCTTCTATCTCTTGTCTGAACATTCTTATACCATAAGCTTTAATTCCACGTACAGTGCAATCTAAGAATGACTTGGTTTCAACCATTTGGCAGATAATGGCAGTATATTGAAATACAATCTCCAATTTGCTTTCTTAAGCTAGACTGCAGATAAATATTGATTCTACAGCCAAGTTCTAAATAAATGGTCTTGCGACGACTCTAGAATTATTCTCTTAATGAATGCACGACGAACAATATTTAATTATAATGCCTCCTATTGGGTGTTGAATCAGTGCGCTGCAGTCTCACTGGAAGTAGAAATTAATTAAGTTGACTGTGACAACATGCAGCTTTTAATAGATAATGCTGAATACCTCATATGGCAAAGCAAGAAGGTGCATAGCTATCTACGCTTTCCAGAATAGAGATTTCAATTATATTTAAAATCTTTAATATTATGTTACATATTGTATATTATAACGCTATGTTAATTACATTACTATTTAAATCGATAATATTAAAGATTTAAGTTGTTTTGAAATTTGATCGTATGATTTTCATTTATTTTGATAGTTTTTCCGTTAATATTAAAAATATTTTTTGAAAAGCTTTTAAATTTACAAGAATTATAATTTTTATACGTATAAAAAACAAAAAAACGAATTTTATATTCTTGCAATATTAATACAGGTCATATATATATAAGACATCATATAATTGGTGATACAAATAGGTAAATTCTACATGCAAAAATATATAAAAACAAAATTTAAGATTTCGAAAACTGAATTTAAACCTTTGTTATATTTGGTTAGTTCTAAATTAAATAATGATAAGTAATTGATAAGTTATTTTGCGTGAAAAAATATTTTGCAACAAAAATGTTATTTTTTTTTTGTTTGATATATTTTTGCATCTTCAATTGATTGTACCACTAATTACATGACACTTAGTATATATAAACTTTCATTTTATTATAAATTATATAAATAAAGTAAATTAACCGAAATTTACATATTATTTAAATTTATATATGTATAATGATTAATCAGATATCTGACTTTAAGGAAATAAGTAATATAGAAAGAAATAGGAACATGAATGTCGTTATTTCAATATCTTCATATTCTATATTTTTAATGTCTTTAGGTAAATGATAATATTTTTCTTTTATGCTTTTTGAAAATGTATGAAATCTATTTACATAGCACTTGTTTTCTAGGGAAAAACATCTTATTATTTTTTAAATTTTGATCTAGTGTGATATCCAGATAATGGAAAGCGTAGCTTTAAATTCTTAAAGAATGATACAGTATTAATCAAACACAGCTGTTTATTAACAATATTGAACTCGTATCAGTGCAGAAGACAAATTGTTTCATTTAAAATATGAAACTGTCTCCAAAATTTTTTAAACATACAACTGTGTAATCATATAATCATATTTACTGATTGTAATCATAATTTATTGTACCAACATTATGTAAACTTTGTATGAACAATATAGAACGCTTTTTACTTTTTACATAAATAGAGATTTTTTTAGATCATCTTTCTGTGACAATATATATTATTTTGAAATTAAATATTTTAACTGAATAAAAGGCATGATGGTATAAATATCAAATTAAGAAGTAGTACAAAAATGAATTAAAGTGATCATTACTATTTATTGTAAATGTTACTTTCATTTTATTTGATGATTTGACCATAATGCCTTTTACATATTTCCTTTTATTTGAACATAACCTCTTAATTAAAAATTATTATTTTACCACTCGTCTTTGTGTGGTATTTTTAAAAAATTATATTTTTCGCTTGTAAAGTATTTTGAAAAATTCCACACAAAATCTAAAAAGTTATAGCATTAAATTATTTTTCACAGAACTACAAAGAAACTTAAATTTAATAAAAGAAAAACTAAAATTACTTGATATTAAAAACTTAATACTTTTAACAATTATATCATTATATATAAGATCAAATAAAAATTGAAACAATATACATTATTATTGACAATTACGTTTCACGTAATCATGAATAAATTATTATGACAAACGTATTAATGTACATATATTCAACACAAAAATCTCTTAACATAAATATAAAGTTTTTGGTTTTGTAGTTCTCGAATATCCACGTGCAGTTTATAAACAAAGTACAAAAGATTCATCTTGATTAACATAGAATAAAAATGATCAGTCTTAAAGAAACAGTCATAAAAGACATGGTACTGCACAAAAATTCTTGCTTCATTTGATATCAAACTTATAATTTTAAGAATGAATTAATTTATATAAAAATTAATGTAAAAACTGTAGTACTGCTTTTACTACCACTATTATTAATGTCAATAATAATAACAACAATTACAATAATAATATATAGTAACAGCAGTATTAAATAATTATAATAATGAAATAAAAAGTGATTACTTACATTATATATAAAATATAAAATATTATTACTAATAACAGCATTAATGAATTATTTTGCATAGAAGCGATCTTTTATATATTATTTTGTGCAGCATAATAAAAAAAAAAACATATAATGTGCCATTTGTGCAATACTCTGTTACTTAAAGAACATAGGAAGAATATACATGAGTGAAAGAAAAAGAGCATATTTTGAAGACTGAAGTGCAATTTTTAGGCATTAGAATTGGAGATATCTGTCTGCTTACACAGTCTCATACTCGCGACGAATTGAACGTGCCAGACAGCATGCAAAGATCACACCAATTAACTGAAATAAAAAAATTTTATATTAGTATATGAATTATTTCCTTCATTAATAAATATTCACTTCATTTAACAAAAATGAAGTGTTATACAAGAATAACAAGTAAGAAATATGTGAACAATATGGCCTTATTAAATTAAATATTGGATAATAATGTATTATCTTGATTGATATATCATCAATGAATGATATATTTTTCAATTTGTATATTTTTATAAAATTATTTTTTCAATATCTTTTCTTTAATTCAAGAAATATATTCAATTTTTTATGAATATTATACAAATATTTAGAAGAAATAATTAGAAGAAATAAACAATAAAAATTACCTGAATAATAGCAATGCCAATGCCTACACCACCCAAGATTAAAGCATTATGCTCAGTAGCAGATTGAAGATTGCCCATACAACCATTTAAATGTATATGAATTGAATTTGAGTCACATTTACTTCCTTCTGGTACTTCTTTGCAACAGGAATTTGGTACAGTATTTTCTGCGAATCCAACATGAGCCCAATCAGTAGGGCCAATCATTCCGCAACATTCCAACTAGAATTTGATAATTTATTTTAAATATATAAATCTAGGAATATAGTGAATATTTTGAATTAGTGATATTAATTTCATTATTATTAAAAAAGATATGTGAAGAATTATACAGGCAGGGTTGTAAATAATAGTACAATTAATATGTTTCGTGAATTTAAAAAACTTTCTTTTTTTTGAACTTTTGAAAGAAAAATTTTATATTTTTATTTTTTCTTTATTTTTTCATGTCATTTCCATTGCTGTTGCATTAATATTTACAAACCATCTTGGATATTAATTTATATCGCGGAAATATTTCAGTATATATTTTTAAATAAAAATAAGTATACTTACGTCATGTTGCATAATATCCCAAGATCTACGAATATCATTATTGGTTAAATATTCCTCCATTGTTGTATTTAATCGATTTTCTACCATTGTGCGTACCTCTCCACGCATCATATATCCAGCAATTCCAGCACCAAGTTCAAGTGCGAAAATTAAAAGCAATAATACAGAAAACTGCACAAAACAAGCATAAAGAAATAACAATGTTATTTAAGATTAATTAAGATTTCATAGAAAAATAAAAGAATATTCTCAATGCATACTTTAAATTCAATTTTAATTACATGCATATATTTGCATAAACATATTTATAAATTTAATTATTGAAAAGTTTGTTCTGATATAAAAAAACACAATACACATAATATAGGAAATTATTGTAACAGATTATTACCGTTATTATCATGCAATGATTCTCTTTAACAGCTCCGCAACAACCAAAGAATGATACAATAAACACAATAGCGCCAATTACAATCATCAATACTGGTGCTGCGAAGAACCAACTGTCCATAAAATTGTTGTAGCCACTGTAAACCACCAAGATTACAGTGCCCACTGCAATAAGTACAATTCCCGTGATCTGCAATCAAAGAAATTTGACAATTACTTTTAACAATAATAGCAGCAATAATATTAATAAAAATGATTATCACAAGAGGTTTTAGCATTGGTACAACAAATATTTAGAGTCTTTGAGAATATACATTTCTTGATAAACTGAAAAATTAAAAAAAGATAATAATATTGACTTTTAGAAATAAGTCGGTCAAGTTCAATATTTATAAATGCTAGAAACTTTTAGTTTTAAAATGAGCTATATATACTTTTCTATTTCTTTTTAAGAAAATATTATATATAATATTTTTCTTTAAGAAGATACGAATTTTTAATCAATCGTTAATAATCAATTGATATTAACATTAGGTATAAATATTTAATTTTACTTGTTTTAATTTTGATTTTAATTAAAATAATTTATCTCAACGTAATAAAACAATGGAAATCAAGCAGAGACTTAAAAAGATTTATTTTTTTCATGTTACACGATGGTTATTATAAATGAAATGTCTTTCCTTCGATGCATTGAAGAAATGAGTGAACGTAGGAGATGTAACAGCCATTCTTGAAATGGTACTTCCTTCAATGACAAAGTAGTGGGGAGTTGACGTTTATTATGCGAGAAATACTACAGAGTATTTTACTCTTATTAATTGATTCAAAAGGAATCCCATCATAGCGATATAACATCGTGTGGATATGTGTGATTTGTCATTGATATGCCGATATCTGTCCTGTGTGGGACAGAAATGGTTGTGTGCATACAGCATATCTACAAGTAAACGGAAAACGAGAAGGGTTGGCGGGATTGCCTTTTAAGTCAACTGAGAGACTCTCAACACATCGGCTATTTTATAATAATCATATACATGATTATGATATATGCATATATAGGGTGTTCCGCAACTTATAGTCAATCGACTGGAAGGTGATATTACATATAAAAATGTATCCAAGAATAAATTTTTTTCATTAAAGTCTTCATTTTCGAGAAAATCGAGTTTGAAAATTTATCAAGTATACTTGAATTTAGTGAACTTCGTACTTGGACAGACGTGAACTGAAATAAGTAAAAATAAGTGAAAAATATAGAATGAAGTTTTTTTTTGTTTAAAGCGTTATATTCAAGAAAATGAATTTTAAATATATTTTATTGAAAATCGCTTTGGTGCGTGTATGTGTGTACTTGATAAATTTCCAAACTTGATTTTTTCGAAGACGAAACATCTTACAAAAATATTTTATTCCATGTTCTTTATTTATTTTTGCACGTAAAATTATCTCCTGTTAATGATTTAATTAGCTAAATTCAAATACAATATTTGTATTTACATTAAAAAATTTCAAACTCGATTTTGTCAAAAATGAAAGTTTTAATAAAAAGATATCATTCTTTTTTTTCGATTCATTTTTTTCATGTAAAATTTCCTTCTATTCGATTGTATTCGTCATGAAATATGTTATATAATAATATTAAATTATACATATATTATTTATATATTATTTAAATTATATATATAATTTAATATTGAATATATATAATATTACATATATGCGTGTATATATGAAATATTATTAACTTCCCACTTTTATATATTACTTTTTAATTAGAATTATGCAATATTGAAAAAATATTTTATAAATATAATAATAAATATAATAATAAAATATAACAATAAAACCGTATATTTCATAACAATATATATAAGAGCAGATAAATATTGAATAGATTTATAAAAGAATAAATATATATATAGATGCACAGTGATACATTATTATATAGTAATACGAATAAAAAATTTAAGAAATTTCATTTAAGAAACAGATTCCTTTCTTAAGAAAGAAATCAAATGAAAGATTTTAGTTATACTTACAATTAGTTTTAACTTTGTTGCTTTAAGGCAAGCAAATTATGTACATGTACATGAATCAGATTAAAAATCAAATTAAAAATTTAAATTTTATACAGGATCAGAAAAATATTAAATAATAATCATCTCAAATTGATAGAATCAAAAACAATACATACTTAAATCATCAAATTTAATTTTGTTCAATATACGTGCATGGGTGTATGTATGTAATTTTAGATTGTAAACAAAATTTTATTTTCAATAAAGTTAGTTTACTTTTTTTCTTCAATTTATTTAAAAAATTATTCATATTAATTGATTATTAACATTTTTATATGATAATTATATATATGATAATTTTTATATGTATAAATGAATTGATTCATATTTTTTAATAAAGTTAGTTCGCCTTTCTTTTTCTAATTTATTTAAAATCAAAAAAATGTTATTAAACATCCAAAACAGCGAGATCAAACACGTTTGAAGCTCCCAGAAAAGAATATAGTATGTAAGGAACACAACATGGAGTACTCACGGCAAATATCAGGTTGAAAAGAAACGTCAGGTATTTGATGCAAGCCATTCCGCCGGACACCATTTTTACACTCACTATTCACTGACTTCGAGAGAAACAAGATCAGAGTAGAAAAATGATAAATATTAATGTAAGCAAATAGTATGAAAGCTGTGCGCGTCTTTTATAAAATAGCGTTGAAATTGTGCACTCGCAGTATACACTTCAACAGCTCACCAAAGAATAATTATATTTGCATTCGTCCACCCTGGCTGACTTGAATGCGCGCGCACCTTCCCGGTAATTTACTCAGAACCGACCATATCTCCCGTAGAACCATGGGCATTTCAAAAATTTTATTTTTCTATTATTCTTAAAATAATCACGTTGGTGTAATTATTAGATAATTTATTGTTTCATTAAATCTAATATTATAAAGTATTATAAATACCGATTTGTTACACTACTAGGATTTAAAATATATGTATACAAGTATTTTTATATTTTATAGATAAATCACATGATATTTGCAAATCATATTTTGATTTTGGCTTTAATCTATGACTTAAGTTCTAATTTTAGATTATTAAATCCAATCCTTACAGACATAAAATATATATGTGTGCAAATTTATATTTTATACATTATATTTTACATTAATACCATTTATATATCTCATCTTATATTATAAAATTTTATTTGTTAAAATTATAGATTTTTTCAACTGTTAATTTCTGCAAAGTTTTCATATCATAAAGAAGTCAACAAATTATTTTTTTTTCAAATTATAACTTAATAATATTTAATGAGAACAACTTTATTACAAGCATGGTAATATGTACATATGTGTGTGTGTGTGTGTGTGTGTGTGTGTGTGTGTGTGTGTGTGTG